TGGTTAATTATTCATATTTCCCATGAGCTGATTCGCTACATTAATGTCAACGTAATCTCTGCCAAACTGATAGAGAAGAAGGGATTTTTGAGAAACCTGCACGAGATTGACTGATTCAAGCTCTGGATGCAAATATCAGGTGCTTTCCTGTCATGAGCCGCATATGCAGCGCTGTAGTTATTAATATCAGTGACATTCAGAGCAAACTGCATCTCATAGCACGGTCTGTCCTGTGTTTATTGGCTTGCTGTGCATGTGTTTACTGAAGATAAATGCTGTGTAACACCTAAAGAAGCTGTTCTGGAACTGATGCCAGACCTTTCATTTATTAGGAATCATTAAATCGTTTACTTTGTTCTTTCATCCAAACCTATGAATAGTCAGCAGCATAACAATACAATGTGGATGCACATCATGCACGTGAACAATGTGATATATAACAGGTAGAGTAGTTTTGTCTGACCAACAAAAAATGTGAACACTAGAGGGAGTCAACACACTCCTAATGCATCTTCACTTAAGACTGTATTCTGTATATATGACCATCAGCACCCTGCTCATACATCACACATCAGCATTGGCCAAAACACAATATATAAGCCATTTATTCTTCATCAAGATTATGATTTATAACTGATCAGATCCATCACTAATCTATGATCATCAGTCAAAAATATGTATGAAAGGAAAAGCAGATAGCAGCGTTTTACTGAGCTGCCGTTGAGACAGGAAGGACAGAAAAGGCACAGATTACTGAGAAAGTCAGAGAGGAACCAGAACTCAATAGAGTGTCCCTAACACTTTAATACAGACTCAAAGTGATAAGTTCGTATAATAACACAGAACTGTCATTATACATTCATAAATATATACATTTATAGAGCGAGCGAGAGAGAGAGATTTTTTTTCTGGCCAAAATATATGTTAAATATATTTTGTACACAGTGAAGCTCAATTTTTGAAATATAAAATATATTTAGTTCCAACCTTCATACACCAAAATATATTTCAAATTGTATTTCAGGTCAAGAAACTTATCTTACTGTAGCCTACATTTAGGCTTTACTCATTATTAGTTTTTTATTCAAATGTTTTTTTATGTGTTACAGATAACAAATAAGTTTTTTCTTCAAATCTGAATTCACTGATCAAAAATATTTCGGTAAAAATATATTTATGTAAATATACATTTTTGTATATTTTACATTTTATATTTAAGAATATATTTGAACATATTTTTCCCACAATGTTTCCACGATTTAAACACTCTGAATTAGGGGTCGACCGATATATCGGCCGATATCTGCCATTTTTCAAATATCGGCATCGGCCGATAAGTTTTTCTGTTTGGCCGATGTGTTCGAGGCGGGACTTTTATTTTGACGGAGCCGAGAACGGCTGTGGCAGCGCCTGAGCACACAGTGCTCACATTCTCCCTCTTGTTCGCTGTTGTCGTTCAGTTCTGTCTAATACGGAAAGAAGTCTATCTAATAATCAGCCAGAACTGTTAAACAAAGGAATTAAAATGTATACAAAAAAGTATTATAACGATTGCTTTATATTATCAAAGGCTAATTATAATACTTTCTTGTTTGCCGTCAGCATTCCGCAAATACGCATTTATATAAATTTAAAAAATCTTTGAAAGACTAATGAACATTTAATTTCACAAACCTTGCAGACTTAGTCGAATCTAGTTGAGATCTTGTGAAGTGTGCATGTGACCTGCATGATCGCGTGTTCTCTGCATGACGGTCAATCCGTGTGAATTGAATACGGACGGGAGGAGTGTTCAGCTTCACTGGAGACGCGCGATCGACAAACTTTAAACTCGTGACTGATTTCAAATTATGCTGCGCTGTATGCATTTTCCCACTGTCATATTCATGTCATTTTCACTGTGTGCTGTATGTAAAATGAGTGTTACCTTGGCTTTATTTGAAAAAAATATGATTCCCAATGCACACAAACTTCTTGCACCCTGTTTGGTTACAGTGTTTACTCCCTTTTTAATTATATTTTTATTAAATATGTATTTATTTGTGAAAAATACTTTGTCTTCTAGAGTATAAGTATGATTATTTTACAAGTTTATTTTTTAATCCATTTTCAAATTATTTCCAATTTTTAAAATATGAATTAAAATAAATAAAATTATATCGGCTGTATATCGGCCATCCCGCTTTCCAAGATATCGGCATCGGTATCGGCTGTCAAAAAAACAATATCGGTCGACCACTACTCTGAACTGTCAGTTCAAAACACTGGCTCAATAATTTGTTACTGAAAAATGTTCACACAGAAAAAGCTTCACATACTTTCAAACTTTGGCTCAGAACCAGGTCTTTGAGCACTGAGTGCTCTTCAGGTGATAAAGCGGCCGTACCTGGTAGATGTCTGATAGGCTGCTGCTCCCCGAGTCACTGGCGATGCTGCATCCTGATTGGCTGGGCGGCATGTGCATCTGCTGGTGGGGGTGGTCTGTCAGGTGCATCTTGCTGAGGTCACCAGGAAGCTGTTCAGACAAGACAGGAAGTGAGAAATGTTGAATTGAGGACATCATTTATAATGCAGCTCATGAGCGGTCTGTCCGCCTCTGAATGTGAGTGAGAAAAACACGCCGACTTCAAAAACACAAAGGACAACTTAATGACACGGACAGAAAACAACTCTAAAAGACTGTTTACACTAAGAATGATTACTATAAAGCAGGGGTATTTAGTTACAGTTTTAAGAGGTCCAGCCTCTATGTTTCCTTCCTGATAATATTGGTTTGGAATAGTTGTAAATTTCCATCTGGGCAGCAGCAGTACTTTGTAAAAGAAAAAACTCCTAAACAGTTCAAATAGTCATTAAAGATGAAGATAGCCAAAGCAGTGTGTCTGAGGATTTTTTTTACTAAATAAATAAATAAAATCTAAATGTTTCATCAGTTGAGCCCAATTAGACACGAATATTAAAAGGTCAAATCAGATGTTTTATCAGGATATTATTATTTTTACATTGAGATAAGAAAAGATACTGTAAGGGGCTTCAGGGTTTTCCTCTTGAAGTCTGAAATCATTTTTATATTTTGCTTAAAATAAGCATCAACCAAAAACAAACAATGTACATAATAATCAAAACGTTCTCATCATGAAAAGTTAACTAGTAATTTCAAAGTTTTAGTTGTCTTTCCTTTCCATCTACAAATAATTTTCCCAATTATAACATTGTTTATTATGAAATGCTCTTAACATGCTGATTAATCATGCTATTAGTAGAGGGGAAAAAAACTTCACAAACCTGGTTTATTTGAACGGTCAGAGTCATATGTATGACAACTAAAAATAATTTATGTCATTTATGTCAAAGCAATTGATGCATTTGCTGCATTCTTGTTTCCTGCAGTGTTTTAGCGAAAGTGTTTCACTGTGTTTCTGCTACTGTTGTTAAAATAACCACATCATCTTTCTGTCTTTAGCAGGGGAGAGAAGCAACACACACAGAGCGGAACAGGTTTGAACGAAATGCGTACCATAAACAAGTCTGAGCGTTTGTGTGAGTACTGCTCTGCCCGCAAACCTTACAAAGCTGTGTAAAGGGCATCTGTGATTCGCAACTGTGGCATAAGGGCAAACGAGGCGCTGCTAATTGCTGCAGTCGTACTGTGCTCACTCACACGAGGGTCTCTCCCCTGCACCTCAACTAATGATGCTGGGAGATTAAATATGAATGCATGCTGCCTCCTGCCCCACATCAGCCATACTCCAGGATTCACACAGGACCGATGCACTGATGCACACTCTCAGAGACATGCTCACCTGGATTGAAAAGCATCGTATTCACATAAACAGTGCGTTTGAGCCTCAGTGTAATACTGAAAGATACTCATACTGCAGCTAATTAGGAAGTGATGTTTTTATGAGGAGGTTTTATGGGAGGTAACTCAGGGGCGCTGAGAGATTTTGTCCTTGTGCAAAGTCCACTGAATTATTCATGCGTCCCACCGCGCTCAAGTCTAGACTAGACAACATTCAGACTGACCATCACTTCATGATGGTTTAGTATTAGATAAAAAAATGCCCTCATGAAAGGAAAAATGCTGGTGAAAACAAAATCCAGGGCAAATACTTGCCTTAATAAAACGTAAATAAAGTTCACATGAATCATAATGTCTCTATCGTTGTGTTTTGTGACATCGCTCTGACAAAGTATCGGATATGTGCTAAGTGCGCTTATCAAATGGCAAAAGGCTGCACTGTAATGAAGTATAAAGTCTTCACTGTGTTCATTTACACATGAGCAGCTCATGATCCAGTGTTTTCAGCATCTCTGAGAAGCTTGATTTCCAGAGAATGCAGTGTTATTGTTATTATGCAGTGTGGATTATTATTTTTAGAGGTTCAAGTGCAAAGCAAAAAGCATGTGTCGGATTTGAAAACGATAGCAAAATTTTCGGCTATTTTGGATTTTTTGAAAAACATATTTTTGCAAACTAGTCCGAACTAGTAATAAAAAAGTGCAGTACAATTCTCTGGACTCTCTAGACCAATAATTATATTTTTTTTAAAAAGTAGAACTTTTGCATTTGGACAGTTATAACAGGGTCATTTAAAAAATATGGTCTACTAAATACCTAGAGTACCCAAAAGACTATAAATTCTAAAAGAAAACTCAAAAGTTCACAAAATCATGCAAGCTAATGCATCATATGATTCTAAACAAGCATGCAAAATTTTATGGAGATCGGGCTAAAGTTGGCACTATAACAAAACTGACAATATTCCTATGGTAAATTCCCTGAAATTACCATTATAACCACTAGTTTTCAGCAGAGAACCACTAATGGGCTCATTCAACTCACTAATAATAGGTTTTGCTTTTGGATTTATATTTAGACATTACAAAATCACTATTATGCCTATGCCACTATATGTCAAACGATTAAAATTTGTAATCTATATAATTACATTTAGATAGATTACTCTAATTAATCACAAATTAATTGCACATAAATTTTGGCTGAGAAATTACCTCCCAAAAGGTAATTTAAAAACATTACTGTGTTAACTAAGAAAAGCATTAAATATACAGTACAAAAAAGTAGCTTTAGAAATAAATATTTTGATTTAACATTGCATAAATAAATGATAATAAATGGGTATTAATGTTTTTCTTTTTTTAAATGAATATTATTACTAAATTAATTACTAAATTTCATATTACTAAAATATGAGAGGAATTTAAAAATAAATAAATAAATGGTACTCTCAATATGACCTAAAAGTGCCAGTAGGTAATTAATTCAACCAATTCCTTCAAACGGCTGATTCACTCAGAAACATAACTAGATCTTTTATTTTTATTAGCGAAATTGGTCAAAGCAGACAATATTGACAATATTATGTCTAACATTAACTTCTTGTTCACTGAACTGTTGTATATCTCTTTTGCAACCATGCAGATATTCAGGAAAAACAGCACTCTTGCTCATGATATATTGCTAAACTACATCATATATGAAATAAATGTAAGATCCAAACCCATACAGGGGCATTTTTTGCCCTCATATCTTGAATTTTAGGGCATATAACCGTATTCTCACAGGCTCCATCACGCAGTCAGTGAGTCATTATGCATCATGTTCATCAGCAACTGCATCAATATGAGATGACATACAGATCTGGGCAGCTGCATTAAATGTGTTCTTTAAATGTGTTCATTAAATGTTCATTAAATCATTCTAAAATGTTATTTTTTCCATAAATAATTGCACCAAATTAACACATTAAATCAACAGCCCTACTAATAATCAGCTCAGTTCATTAACTCACTAATAAAGTAAATTTTTTAAATGAAACGTTGTTTATTTGGTATTTCCAACAGCTCATACATGCCGATTCAGTGCTGTGAACACGAGCAGATCTCGAATCGGATCATGAAGCAGGGCTCAGACACAAACTGTGCCGTTTGCTGTCCTGCAGGCCTGATGTCCAGCTGCATTAGTGCTGCATGTGAATAGAGGCTGAATCTCGTTAGACGCTTCTTCCTGCAATAGTTCACCAGGAGCGAGACCTGCAGTGTGCAGCTATGATCAATGCAGCGCATGTTTAATGCTATTACAGCAGAGGAGAGCCCTGCTGCACATACATTAAACTCTGTGTGAACCAGACCAACACTGAGCTCCCCAAACCAACACACGCACCCCTAAACACAGCATTACACTAGACATGAATCATGTGTGTTGTTGAGGAGAATGCGCTGCTACTTTACTAAGTGACTAGACGCACTAAACAGCTGCTGGTCCCCAATGACTTCCATAGTATGGAAACAAATACTATGGAAGTCAATGGCAGCAGAGCAGTGCAAGAGTTTCAGATATTGGGGGAACTATTTGGCCATTTCTAAATATTGGGGGACTATGATGTTACAGCCCTGGTTTGTTTGAAAATGAGGGAATTAAGACAGCAAATTGCCGTATTAATTTTTTTCAATTTATTATTTTTTTAACTCTATAAATACTACATTTTTTAATGAACTTTTTAAATTAAATTGCAGCTTTTAATGTTTTTTCCCCCAAACGTGTGGCCCTAAAAGCAACACGGTAAAAGCAGCTTAAACATCTTAGCAACTGCATAGCAATGCCCCAGCAAACACCTACAGCAACTCATCACACCAGAACGTTTTGCATGGGCACAACAGACAGACAGACAGACAGACAGACAGACAGACAGACAGACAGATGGTATGTTTGTATTTTAGGCAGTGCTATCCAGGGGCAAACAAGGTGCCAGCCTACACCATGTGAGCACTGTGAACAGGGCAGCCATATGGCACCCTGCCCTGTCCTTACGCTCCACGAGCAAAGCCCAACCTCTTCCTTCGATGTCAGACCTTCAACCTGAACCCAGAATCAACTGTGTGACGTCACATACTCGTGGCATGATTACAGTTGATCTGATCCCATCTGCCTTCACACAAGTATAGGAAGATCAAAAGCTAATGATTCGGGATGGGATTCACAGATGCGTCCCAAACACACAGAGTACACGTCAGCATGTGTCCACTGGGGAGGCTTTATAAAGGGAACACTGTCCTCCTATGAAAGAGCGAAAACCAAAGTGTATATTGATGGAAACAGATGACTATAAGGGGCACTGAAGGACTGAAGGCCGGTGTTTAACTGGATGGTGAACTGCAGCATTATAATGAGCGAGGATAGGTAATGACCCTGCTGTTTTAGGCCTCTATAACCTTCATACATGGCCCGTAATCTAAAGAAACCATGTTCTTGATAAGTTACAAACTTCTAGATTCAGTCACAACTATATAGTCCAAAGCCATCGCTCTTTACGTGTGGAGTCGTTTCAGAGAGCAAGCAAAAGATATCAGACGCATGCCGACCTTACCTATCTTTTAAATAAAAGATCTGCTCTTACCAGCTGAATATTATCCAAACAGATGCTGAGAGCTTTTAGCTGCTCTATCCTGGGAGGTTTAGGGTGTCATGTGGACAAGAAGGTTAGGCAATCG